GTATTTCAATTCTTAGAGTGTCATGGGTAGAATGGATTATGTACTGGCCACAGACAGAGGAACAGCTTTGATGGTCTTAAAAAGTTTAAATCTAAAAATCCACAGCTCTGAAAGCAACATAAACAGATTCTAAAATGTCTGACCTCATCTGTTAAATTTCCATGTATGGAGAGGTAATGTCAATTCATCATGTAATACTTAATTTATACAATAAAAGAATAACCTGCAAGAAGGAAAAAAAGGCCCCAGAATTGTGAACTATGCCTGTGAAACTGTGAGCCAAGATTAATCTTCCATTTTATCTATGTCAGCTATTCGGCCAGGGCACCAGTACAGTAAGGAATATGTGGGTAGGATGAAGAGTGTAAGAGAAAGAATGCAAAGACCCGCTGTGAGGCTGGTACCAGAGTCCTGGAATGAGGTAACAAAGACCCATCTGAGGAAATGGAAGAAGGGATGATCAGATGTTGACTGAGAAGCTGTAGGGATGAAAGGGATAATTCCCATGTTTGTAACCCGCCTCAACAGGCAGTTGGTCCTAAGAGTTAGTATTCTAAGGTGGGAGAGATGGCTCATCATTTAGGAGTGGATACTGCTTGTGATGGCTTGAACAAGAATGGCACCCATAGGCTCGTGTATTTGCATCCTTAGTAGCCTTGCTGGAGGAGGTGTATCACTGAGGGTGGACTTTGAGACTCTCTCTCTCTCTCTCTCTCTCTCTCTCTCTCTCTCTCTCTCTCCTTGCTGTCCGTGTGGATCAGGATCCACATCTACTGCTCAGTGTGCTTGGCCTGTTCCCTGCCATCATGGTCAGGGCCTAACCTCTAAAACTGTAAGCAAGCCCCCAGTTAAATGCTTTTCCCAAGGCAACATACCAGGTGGTGGTGGCACATGCCTTTAATCCCAGCACTTGGGAGACCTTAGTCATGGTGTTTCTTCCTGGTAACAGAACGGTAATTAAGACACTGTTCTAGCTGGGCGGTGGGGGCGCATGCCTTTAATTCCAGCACTCGGGAGGCAGAGGCAGGCGGATCTCTGTGAGTTCCAGACCACCCTGGTCTACAGAGTGAGTTACATACAGGTCAGGCCCCAAAGCTACAGAGAAATCCTGTCTCAAAAATAAAATAAAATAAAATATAAAAAATACAAGAGGTCACTATTTCTTTACCTTTACAGGACCTAAGTTTGGCAGTTGTGAACCCATGTCAGACAGTTCATAACTGCCTGTAACTCCAGCTCCGCGGAATCCAGTGCCCTTATACAGCTTCTTTGGGCTTATACTTAGGTGTAAAAATAAAATCTTAAGAAAAAGCAAAATAGCTGGGTGGTGGTGCCACACATCTTTAATCCCAGCACTTGGGAGGCAGAGGCAGGCAGATCTGAGTTCAAGGGCAGCCTGGTCTACCGAGCAAGTTCCAGGACAGCCAGGGCTACACAGAGAAACCCTGTCTCAAAAAAAAAAAAAGCAAAAGAATTGTTATTCTAAAACAAACTTCTGGTAACCACAATTATCTTTGTGTGAAAATAAGTCTATACAATTTTTGATTCATTACTGACATTTTAAATAACGCACCTAGCTGGGTGCATCATTTTGGTGGGGGCAGGGTTTCATGTAGGTCTCTGGTTAACCTCAACCATATATAACTGTGCATACCCTTTAACTCCTGACCTTCCTCAGCGTTGGGAATAAGCCATGCCCAATTCATACATTGCTACAGCTCAAGCCCAGGACTTTATCACATGAAGCAAAAATATTCTACCAACTGTGTCTCTAGCCCTTGAACTTTTTTTAAGTGAAAAAAATAATAAAATAGGGCTGGAGAGATGGCTCAGCGGTTAAGAGCACTGACTGCTCTTCCAAAGGTCCTGAGTTCAATTCCCAGCAACCACATGGTGGCTCACAACCATCTGTAATGAGGTATGGTGCCCTCTTCTGGCCTGAAGGCATACACACAGACAGAATATTGTATACAGAATAAATAAATGTTTAAAAAAATAAAATAAAAGACTCAACTGTCTAAGCAATTTACAACAAAAATGTCTGTGGAGAGCTTTTTAAAACTCTTTTTAACCGGATATGACAAATTAATTCCAGAATTTAAAAAGGTTGCAACAGAATTTAGTTTAAGGATAGACTGGGCTCCATAACAAGATACCACCTAAAGCACAAACCAAAGCAAAATAACTTTTTCCTCTTCTTTTCATTTCGTATTTTTTGCTAAAAGAGAAACAATTCAATAAGAAGCTTATCATCATCACTTCATGGTTCATCCTGTTACTGAAAAGTGCACGTGAACCTGGGCTCTGTGCTGTTAGAAACTTGATTATATAGCATACTTTCCCAGTATCATCTGAATGGGATCTCAGAGATGTCACTGGAGATGCAGATGCAAGGATTCAAAACCAGATCCTAAGCAGGTGTGACAGCATATGCTTGTGATCCCAGCACTTGGGAAGTAGACACAGGAAGGTCAGCTCAAGGTCAGTCCTGGCTCAAAAACCATAAAAGTAAAATAAAATAAAAATGCCTGAATCAGAGAGATGGCTCCACAGGTAGAGGCTCTTGCCCTTGTCAGGCCTGGTGACCTCGGCTTCATCCCTGGGACCCACACTGCAGAAGAGCCAACTCCTCCAAGTTGACTTCTGACCTCCATATGCATAGCATGGCACATGTATGCATGCATGAACACACACCAAAAATAAATGCAAAAAAAAAAATGCTGGGTTGAGGTACTTAGTTCTTGCCCAGCATGAAAGGGACGCTGGATTTGATCCCCAGAAAAGGTGGCGATCAAAACAAACTTCTTTTGCTATGAATGAAAATGTTCACCATGACAGACATAGTGATGCACACCTTTAATCCCAGCAATCGGAAGGCAGAGGCAGGCAGATCTCAGTGAGTTCGAGGCCAGCCAGGTTTATAGAGCAAGTTCCAGGACAGTCAGAATTTCACAGACAAACTCTGTCTCAAAAATAGCAAAAGAAAAAAATGTTCTTCAAAGTTTTGTTTGATAAAGAATTACGTGCTGCTTGAAAAGGCAGAACTAGAAGCTGATTGTATAACTGGAAAGGAGGCAGACTCGGCTCAGCTTAATTCCCAGTAGTTAGAAACAAACAATGGAATGTTCTCCTTACTAACTTGTCCAAGCTGACCTTAACCTCATTTTATAGTGCAGGAAGGCTTGGAACTTGGGATCTTCTTCCATCAGCCCCCCCAAGTAGTTGACATTAGAGACCTGAACCATTAGGCCTGGAAATGTCAAAGGAGCCAAAGATGATCAGTTTCAAAAACTTGTGAAATTAAAGACACATATTAGATGACCCGATACAATATCCTACCAACAAAAAAAAGTGAGTTCGTGGGTTTTTTTTTTTCAAAGACAGGGTTTCTTTGTGTAGCCTTAGCTGTCCTAGAACTAGCTTTGTTGAACTCACAGAGATCCACCTGCCTCTGCCTCCCAAGTGCTGGGAGTTCACAGCCATCTTAATGCTAACCTCTTCATCCCATTCCCAGCCTGCCACTCTCCATAGCCATATCTTTCTACAAACACCAAACCAAGACAGAGATGCTCCTTGCTCCAAAAGAGCCAAGTACACTTTTAGTTTTCGTTGTCAGTCTTAGACATTGTATCACAAAATGACTACAGCTCATGAAATTCTGATTTGTTGTGAAGGTGGGAGTAGCTGCAGACGTCTATATAGTCTACAAGAGTGTCTACAAGAGTTTGAGAGAGCTGTGTCAGACAAGAAAAATCTCACGTTTATGACAAAAGGTGGTTATCAAAGTTTACTTTTGGGTTCCATTTATGGTTTCTGTGCTATTTTAACTGACATAACTTTGATTCCTATACAAACACACACTCCATCTCCTCTTCTGAGAGACTATTCTGTTTAATGGTGTATTTCTTTTAAGCTACAGGTTGAGCAGGGTTGGAAAAATATGGAAAGCCATCTGTTGGTTAGAGCACCACCCGAACCCAGCAAGGTGCCCTGCTGCCAAGCTTGGGCCTCAGCGCCCCTCTGAATTTACTGTTTGTGTACTCTCAAGTAGCTGAAGTCAGATGGAATCTGGAGAGGTGCAGCTGCTGAGGCCAGATGTTAGAGGTGAGAGGGCAGGACAAGCTAGGTAGATGAGCTCCCTACAGCATCCTTAATAACTAGAGGTTGACATCAAATTACCTTTCAACACAGGAATAGGAAGAAAGGGGGCAGGAGTCAGGCCAGTATTAAATGCTTCTGATCTACTGCTCCAGTGAGATTCCTTCCAGTCAGTCCTATTACAAGGGAGGATGTGGGGTCTGCCTACAGTGTTGTGTATAGTGTTCTGTCTGCATGCATGCCTGTATGTTAGAAGAGGGCACCACATCTCATTATAGATGGTTGTGAGCTACCATGTGGTTGCTGAGAACTGAATTCAGGACCTCTGCAAACGCAGTGAGTGCTTTTAACCTCTGAGCTGTTTCTCTAGCCCCCAGACTGCTCATGAAAACATGTTATCACTGCTTCAAGAGTTCCAAGGGTCAAAAATCCATTGCCATTGTTCTTGAGTTCTCAATAGTCCTCATTGTCCGCTATGTTCAGAGTCCGGTTTTATCCCAGGCTTTTCCAGACCCAGGCCAGCTGGTCTTGGTGAGTTCCCAGTAGAACATCCCCACTGTCTCAGTGTGTGGGTGCACCCCTCGCGGTCCTGAGTTCCTTGCTCGTGCTCTCTCTCCTTCTGCTCCTGATTTGGACCTTGAGATTTCAGTCCTGTGCTCCAATGTGGGTCTCTGTCTCTGTCTCCTTTCATCGCTTGCTGAAGGTTAATATTCAGGAGGATGCCTATGTTTTTCTTTGGGTTCTCCTTATTTAGCTGGCTTTGTGGGAGCCTAGGCAGTTTGGATGCTCAACTTACTAGACCTGGATGGAGGTGGGGGTTCCTTGGACTTCCCACAGGACAGGGAACCCTGATTGCTTTTCGGGCTGAGGGGGGGGACTTAATTGGGGGAGGGGGAGGGAAATGGGAGGCGGTGGCGGGGAAGAGACAGAAATCTTTAATAATTAAATAAATAAATAAAAAGAGTGGAAAAAAAAAAGAGTTCCAAGGGTGGTCACTACAGACCCTTGTTGGGGTCCTTCCCCCAACCTACCCCCAATAAAATGATCCCATTACCATCAAGTTTCCTAAATTCATGAAGTCATGTACCAAAGCAGCATATTCCTTGTCCTATCTCAAAACTGGATTAGCAAGAGTGGCTTGGAGATGCAGCTCCTGGCCTGGCATGGTTGTATATACGCCTGTAATCCCAGCACTTCAGAGGCACAGGCAGGCAGGTCTCGCCGAGTACAAGGCCAGCCTGGTCTACACAGTGAGTTCAAGAAAAGCTAGGGCTAGACCTAGCTCAAAAAAAGAAGGGGGGGGGGAGGGAGAAAAAGAAATACAGCTTGTTTCCCTTTCTAGATGACCCAGAATATCCTTCCCTCTGTCTTCTGTGCTCACCAGATTGACCCCAACTAGTGGAATCCTTGGAATTCTATTACTAATAAATGTCCACCCCCAACTCAGAAAGGCTCTTCTGGTGTGAGAAAACTGGTTTAGTGCAAACCCTTCCTTAAAAGGGGATGGCTGGTCCCCAAGCTTCCTCCCTTTCCCAGTGCTTAATCTGCTACTTGCCTCACGATTTTTCAAGACTAGTATCCACTCCTGGGAAATCCTGCTCATCACTGTGCCAGGATGTCTTTCCCAATCTGCCCCACTCTGAGTGAAAGGTTTGAGGAGGGAAACATCCTAAATTGGTGCTATTTATAAAGTAAGGCAAGAGCTCCTTAGACTCAGGAAGTGAGGGAAATGGGATATGGCTCTTTCATGTGGAGTCTCTGACGTTTAATTCAGCAGAAACCCTGAGGGAATTTCTGCTTACACCCATTACACTCAAAGGCTTCTCTCCAGTGTGAATCCTCTGATGGCGAACAAGAGCTGAGCTATACCTGAAGGCTTTCCCACACTCGCTACATTCATAGGGATTCTCCCCTGTGTGGATTCTTTGATGCTGAATAAGGCCTGAACTGTAGGTAAACTTCCCCCCACACTCCATACATTCATAGGGCTTCTCTCCAGTGTGAATTCTCTGGTGCTGATAGAGGTGTGAGCTCTGGCTGAAGGCCTTCCCACACTCATTACATTCATAGGGTTTTTCTCCAGTATGGATTCTCTGATGATGGATAAGGGTGGAACTCCGGCTGAAAGCCTTCCCACATTCGTTGCAAGCGTAGGGCTTCTCACCAGTGTGGATTCTCTGATGGTGAGTAAGAGTGGAGCTCCAACTGAATGTTTTTCCACATTCATTACATTCATAAGGTTTCTCCCCAGTGTGGATCCTCTGATGTAGAATGAGAGCAGAGCTACAACTGAAGGTCTTCCCACAATCTTTACATTCATAAGGTTTCTCTCCAGTGTGGATTCTCTGGTGCTGAATAAGATGTGCACTCTGGCTGAAGGCCTTTCCACATTCACTACATTCATAGGGCTTTTCCCCAGTGTGAATTCTCTGATGTTGAATAAGGTCTGAAGTTCGATTAAAACTCTTGTTACATTCATCACACTTATGGGGTCTGTGTCCCATGGGAAACCTCTGGTGTGAAATGAGGGTGGAATTCACAGTGAAGCTGTTCCCGAACTCATTATACTTGTCATTTCTTTGTCCCATATGGGTAAGCTTTTCCTCAACTGTCACTTGATGGAACTCCTGTATTCTTCTATTCAGTCTTCCAGCAGAGGAGTTCCCTAGCTGTCTCTTCAGATTGACTTCTTGTTCATAGGCTTCTCCAAACTTAAGACCCTGAGAAACATCCGTTTGGAACTGTCCCAACATCATCTCATGTGACCCCATGCCTTCAGAGATTACTTGGTCATTTCCAGTTTTAGATTCACAATCTAGCACAATAAAAAAAAATTCAAGTGTCATGTTATTTGTGAGAAAAAGAATAAAAGTCAGAGAACAAGATAATCATGTGTCTGACATTTATAGTGCTAAAAGCACATGTCCCTTTGCTGGCCTGAAGAAAGGCCTTCCAGCCTGTATGTATAACTAAAGCAAAGTAGGGCAAATGGGCTAAATAACCAGAGAAGGAACAAGGGAGAAAGAACATCAGTGAGAAAAGACGTGAACCCAGAGGAAGTCAAGGATGTGCTGGGGATGGGAGGAGATAGGCTACTTTGTTGGGAATAAAAACTAGGTAAGGGAAGCTGAAGAGTTGGCTCAGAGGTTAAGAGTACTTATTGCCCTTGCAGAGGGCACAGGTTTGAGTTCCACTGCCCACATGGAGGCTTACAGCTGTCTGTAACTGTAGTCCCAGGAGATTCAGTGCTCTCCTCCGACCTTTAGAGGCACCAGGATCACATGTGGTACACACATACATGTAAGCAAAACATTCATACATATAAAAGAATAAAATAAAACAAACCTAGGTAAGAAAGACTTGTTACTTAATGAAGTGCCAAAGTCTTCAGACAGTCAGAGGCTGTGGACGTGTCTGGGAAGATGGCAAGAAGAAAAGAAGGAGGAGGATGGTTGAAGTAATGAGTCTAAGAATGACAGGAAACTGAAGGGGGTGACATGTGTTTATTAATTGTAGCACACAGTAGGCTGAAGCAGAAAGACCATGAGTTTGAGACCAGCCTGGGCTACATAGGAGACACAATCCAAAAAAGGGGAAGCCTGATAGGTGGAGCAAGTGTATAAGGAGCTTAACAGACAGCTGAAGAGAAAGGCAGGAAAAACACAAGGAGCAGAGGACAGATTAAGAAACCCCCAGGTGAGAACTAACCTGTCTGTAGTCCAACCCCATATACCACCAAAAAGACAAAACAGTTTTAGCCCAGCTCTGGGCTGTAGCCCAAAAGGTGATGTTATGTTGCAAACTATGTATATAAATAATCTCCATGTCTGCATTCTCATTTTCACTGTTTACCGAGTTCCTACAGGAAACTCTAGGCATGGAGGATGATTCCACTGGGTCCATGTAGTATTTTTAGTTTGTCAGTATTTTGGAAAATAGACAGACAGGGTAAGGACTCACTCGAACAGACCTCCCCCGGCAAAGCCTTCTCTTTTTTTTTTTCGAGACAGGGTTTCTTCTCTTTTCTCAGACCCCCCAGTTCCCATTCCAGCCAAGAGACTGTGGAAGGACTCAGAAAGAACCCACTCATAGGCACAGACATGGCCATATTAAGTGTTCCCTGAGCACAAACCTAGCCCCCAGGTCTGCAGGGGACAGAAGGAAATGTATTTGGACATCTCAGCTGGCAGTTAGGAAGATACCCTGGTGCTGCTTGGAAAATATGTTCTCACTGAAAGTGAGGTAAGAGGCAAGTAACTAACCTGAAACATTAAGAAGGTAATTTCTACTTAAAACAAGTAATTGATTTTGTTTGTTTATTCTGAGACAGGGTCTCAATATGTAGCCCTGGCTGTCTGTCCTGGAACTCACTATGTAGACCCAGCTGGCCTTGAACTAACAGAGCTCTACCAGCTTCTGCCTCCCAAATGCTGGGACTAAAGGTGTATAGCAATGCATTTCCTTTAAAAAGTGTGTGTGTGTTACTGGTGGTAGTTTTGGAACCCCCTGCTGTCGCTGTTAGGAACTGAACTGTAGCCCTTTTAACTCCTGAGCCAGCTCTCCAGCACCACAACAACACATTTCTGTACATGGTACATAAGCTCCTAAACAAAACAGTAGATCCTTGGAGTAATCCAACAGAGACAGGAAGAGTAGAGAGCTCTAGAAGACTAGAAAAGACTCTGAAGGATTAACATATTAAGTCCTAAAATTAGATGGCTAAATCACCAGGCTTGGTGTTAATAGGGCAGGGGCTCAGCAGCACTAGAGTAGCTGATGTGCAAGGATTACAGAACTTAAGGTCATCCTGGGGCTACTGAATGGGTTCCAGGCCAGCACAGGCAGTGTGAAACCCGGTCTCATATAGATAGGCAGATAGACAGGCAGGCAGGCAGGCAGATAGACAGACAGACAGATAGGGATATCTACAAAGACATAAAAAACAAGAAATAACACTGGAGCTTAAGCTTTGTCATTCACAAGTTCTATCACCATGCAAAAAGTGTCTAAGTTTGCCTGATTGTTTGAGGTTGGGTCTCATGCAGCCTAGGGTGGTCTCAAACCCATAGTGAATATGTAATAACTGGTCAGCCTGCCTCTACTTCTCAAGAGCTGAGATTACAGGTAAATGCCACCATTATATGCCTACCATGCCCAACTGGCTTCTAAGGGTCTTTTTATTTATTTCTTTTCCATATATGTATTTTGCCTACATGTTTGTATGTGTATCACATGCATGCCTCGTGTCTGTGGAGGCTAGAAAAGGTCATCAGATTCCTAGGAACTGGGACTACAGACGGTGGTGAGCTGTTGTGTGGGTGCAGGGAATAGAGCACAGATTCTCTGGAAGAGCAGCCAGTGCTCTTAACCACGCAGCTGCCTCTCTAGCTCTGCTTTTGCACTTCCTGACCTCATGTTTCACGCCTATAAAATGAAGCTAACACTAACCACCTCAACTATGGGGCGACTCAACTATGGAGTTAAATGCAAGGATATCTGTGAAACCTCCTTAGAAGAAGCAAGTTATGCTATAAATGTGAGTTATCATTCGTTTGTTTTTGTTTTTTCAAGACAGGGTTTCTCTGTAGCTTTGGAGCCTGTCCTGGAACTAGCTCTTGTAGACCAGGCTGACCTCAAACTCACAGAGATCTGCCTGCCTCTGCCTCCCGAATGCTGGGATTAAAGGTGTGCGCCACCACTGCCCAGCTGGCACACGGCTTTAATCCCAGCACTCAGTAGGCAGAGGCAGGCAGATCTCTGTGAGTTTGAGGCCAGCCTGGTCTACAAAACGAGTTCTAGGACAGGCTCCAAAGCTACACAGAGAAGCCCTGTCTCAAAAGAAAACAAAACAAAATAGTAGTGTAGTGCGGTGGTAAAACATCTGCTTAGCATGCACAAAGCTGGGACTTTGATCCTCAGCACCGCCATGTGAAAAGAGTATGGCATTCATGAAAGCAGAGACTAGCAAACCCCGAAGCCTAGAGAAAGTAGATGTTGTGTTGAGAAGGCCCAGGTCCTTACCCAGTGAGAACACATTCCCATAATTCTCCAGCATCACATCCCTGTAGAGGTCCCTCTGTGCAGGTTCCAAACGTTTCCACTCTTTCCAGATGAAGTAGACAGCTACATCTTCAAATGTCACCAACTCCTGGAACAGTCATGAGGCCATAAATGCAATTTCATGGCACGGGTCAGGACTGGCAGCACCAAAGAGCCACCAGGATGATCTTTGGGATGTGGACAGGTCTGAACAATGCCAACATGAGCATCCAAAACAGGACACAGCACTGAAAGTACAGCGATAAGTGTAACTGCCTTCCAAGAGTCCATAATGGAAATAACTTTTTATTAACGTGCATTTATTTGGGGAGGGTACTATGCACACATATGGAGGTCAGAGGACAATCTGTGACAGTCAGTCCTTCCCTTCCAACATGTGGATCCCAGGGACTGAACCCAGTTGGTAGGGTTAGCATCAAGCACCATTTTTGTTTGTTTTTCCAGACAGGGTCTCTGTGTAGCTCTGGCTGTCCTGGAACTCACTTTGTAGACCAGGCTGACCTTGAACTCATAAAGATCCCCCTTCCTCTGCCTCCCGAGTACTGTGATTAAAGGCATGCACTACCACTGCCCGGCTGGCAGCACAAATCTTTATCCACTGAGTCATCTCACTGGACCCAGAACCAGTTTTAAGAATTAGAGTTTAGGTCATTAAAGGATACGTCACTACAAAATCTATTCACAGAACAAGAGGGAAAGAATGAAGGGGAGCATGGCTTACCTGGGACTTGGCCTTCAGAAGTGCAGCAGCCAACATCTCATGCCCCAGACTGTCCTTGTCAGCAAAGGAAGGGACTTCTGAAGAAGAAAGAGCTAAAGGACAATACCAGGGTCAGGAATCAATCTGCCTGCTTTCTGACCCAAGGTCACACGCCTAAAAACAACCACCCAATCTCTGCTTCCATGAATGCCATACTCTTTTTCTCATGGTGGTGCTGAGGATCAAAGTCCCAGCTTTGTGCATGCTAAGCGCTACAGCAGCAGCCACCACACTACAGCAGCAGCCACCACACTACAGCAGCCACCACACTACAGCAGCAGCCACCACACTACAGCAGCAGCCACCACCACACTACAGCAGCAGCCACCACACTACAGCAGCAGCCACCACACTACAGCAGCAGCCACCACACTACAGCAGCAGCCACCACACTACAGCAGCAGCCACCACACTACAGCAGCAGCCACCACACTACAGCAGCAGCCACCACACTACAGCAGCAGCCACCACACTACAGCAGCCACCACACTACAGCAGCCACCACACTACAGCAGCAGCCACCACACTACAGCAGCAGTCACACTACAGCAGCAGCCCAGCCACCACACTACAGCAGCAGCCACACTACAGCAGCAGCCCAGCCACCACACTACAGCAGCAGTCACCACCACACTACAGCAGCAGCCACCACACTACAGCAGCCACCACACTACAGCAGCAGCCACCACACTACAGCAGCCACCACACTACAGCAGCAGCCACCACACTACAGCAGCAGCCACCACACTACAGCAGCCACCACACTACAGCAGCAGCCACCACACTACAGCAGCAGCCACCACACTACAGCAGCCACCACACTACAGCAGCAGCCACCACACTACAGCAGCCACCACACTACAGCAGCAGCCACCACCACACTACAGCAGCAGCCACCACACTACAGCAGCAGCCACCACACTACAGCAGCAGCCACCACACTACAGCAGCAGCCACCACACTACAGCAGCAGCCACCACACTACAGCAGCAGCCACCACACTACAGCAGCAGCCACCACACTACAGCAGCAGCCACCACACTACAGCAGCAGCCACACTACAGCAGCAGCCACCACACTACAGCAGCCACCGCACTACAGCAGCAGCCACCACACTACAGCAGCCACCGCACTACAGCAGCAGCCACCACACTACAGCAGCAGTCACCACACTACAGCAGCAGCCACCACACTACAGCAGCAGTCACACTACAGCAGCAGCCACCACACTACAGCAGCCACCGCACTACAGCAGCAGCCACCACACTACAGCAGCAGCCACACTACAGCAGCAGCCACCGCACTACAGCAGCCACCGCACTACAGCAGCAGCCACCACACTACAGCAGCAGTCACTCAGACTGCTCATGCCTGCTCTTCAAGCGTGGCCAGGAACCAGTTCCGTTCTCATTCTCCTTCTACTAACACGAACTCTCGTAGATCTTAGGCAGAGGAAAATAAGCAGCTTCCCTTAAGGCCTGACAGAAAACACAACACCCACAACTCTTTCTTCGTCCAAAGACCAAACACACAAACACGAGATAGAAATGTTTCCTAGCTCTGCACTGGACTACATACCTTTCCCCATCAGCCATAAGTTTTGTGCTTGTCTCTCAGGTCTAACCCACTACACATAACTAGATTTGACAAAACGGATTCTAAAAGCTTCTTCCTAGTAAGCATGGAAACATCATTCAGGTTGAAATTGTTAGCTCAGTGCTTAGTGCTTACCTAGCAAATGTTTGACCCTGGGCTCCATTCCCAGGAAGTTCCCTGTAAGTCCTATTCCCACACAACTTTCTAATGGTCTGGGAATTTTTGTGTAGGAATGTCTGTGTGAGGGTGGGTGCATACAGGCCACAGTGCACATGTGGCGGTCAGGGGACAACCTCAAGTGTCACTCCCTGCCTTCCACCTTGTGAGACTGGATATTTTGTTGTTTTTCTGCTCCATGTGCTATGCTAGCTGGCCTATGAGCGTTTGGGGCTTTCCCTGTCTCTCGCTCCATCTCACCATAGGAATGCTGGGATTCTAGACATTCTTACTACACATCTAGTTTCATGTAGACTCTGGGGATTCAACCTCATTCTCATGCTTCCGTGGGAAGATCTTTTACCCACTGAGCCATCTCTCCAACCCCACAACTCTTTAAAGTTTGAAAAAAAAAAGCATGAAAACATAATGAAACCCAATAAATATCCTATTTAATTACTGTCGATAATACAAAACGTTTCAAGAGTTCTGGGCAGGTAGACGGCTCAATGGGTAAAGGCACTGGGACAAAGCCTGACTACCTGAGTTTGATGCCCACCAGCAGCTCACATGGTAGAAGGAGAGAACCAGCTCCAGAGGTTGCCGACTCACCTCTGTCTGCATAGACTTCGGTGCACGGTGGCATACATGTCTATATTCATAACACACAAAATAAATAAACTTAATTTAAAAAAAAAAAAAAGATGCTTCAATAAAAGTTTATTTTGGTTTGGGTGTGGTGCCACATGCCTTTAATCCTGGCACCCCAGGGGCAGAAACAGGTAGATCTCTGGGAGTTCCAGGATAGCCTGGCCTACATAGAAAGTCCTTGGTCATCCAGGGCTGCAGTGAGACCCTGTCTCAACACACACACACACACACACACACACACACACACACACACACACAATGAGGCAGGGCATGGTAACAGATATCTGTTTAAACCCATCACTCCAGATACATGTGAAGAATATAGAAAATTCAAGGCCAGCTTGGGCTACATAATGAGACCCTATCTCAAAAGACAAACAAGCATACCAAGTGTGGTGGCCCACACCTTTAATCCCAGCACTCAGTATGCCAGGCAGCTGGATCTGTGAGGTTCAGACCAACCTAGTGTACATAGTGAGTTTCTGGTCAGTTATGGCAAAATAGAGAGGAGCTGGAGAGATGGCACAGCAGTTAAGATCACTGACTGCTCTTCCAAAAGTCCTGAGTTCAATTCCCAGCCACCACAGCCATCTGTAATGAGATCTGATGCCCTCTTCTGGCCTGCAGGTGTACATGCAGGCAGAATACTGTATACATAATAAATAATAAAACATTAAAAAAACAAAAAACAAAGAGAGACCCTGTCTCAAAGGAAAACAAAAAACAAGCAAGTAAACAGCAGAAAAAGATGAGAACAACCCCATTTCCCAAGCCCACATCTTACCACTCTCCAGCAAGGGTGGAGGTTCCTGAGATGCAAGGTCAGCCTGAGTTTCCATAGGGAGAGTGAAATGTTCTGGTCCCTGCTCTCCCAGGTGTAGAGGCAGCAGGAAGCAGGTTCTGAAGGAGCACTGCAGAGGCAAAAGGCCCACAGCTGAATTTTAAAAATGCCTCCGAACTTCAGAAAGGGAATCGCAGCTTAATACACAGGAATCGTGAGAGGAAACACAGAACTGCTCTCTCAGATCCCTGTGGATATGGACATGTCTGTGATGAGACCACACAAGGAATCCTGATTTCCAAATTTTGCCCCACCCACCCAGCACTTTGAGTGACAACTATAGGAGGGGGGGTGTCACCAGAATGAGATGACTGACCTTGAGCCAGGTTGGTGGCAGGCAGCACTAGGGAGGTGGGGGAGGGATCAGGAGTTCAAGGCCAACCTGTGCTGTAAGAAACCTTATCTTGCTGGGCAGTAGTGGCACAGACCTTTAATCCCAGCACTTGGGAGGCAGAGGCAGATCTCTGTGAGTTCAAGGACAGTCTAGTCTACAGAGTGGGCTTCAGGGCAGCTAAGGCTACACAGAGAAAACCTGTCTCAAAAAAAAAAAAAAAAGAAAGAAAGAAAAGAGAAAAGAAAAGAAGCCTTATCTTGGGACTAGAGAGGTGACTCAGTGGTTAAGAGCACTTGCTGCTCTTCCTGAAGACCTCAGTTTGATTCCCACCATCCACACAGCAACTCACAGCATCTGGAACTCCAGTTCCAGGAAACCCAATGCCTTCTTCAGGACTCTGAAGGCACCAGGCACATACATGGTGCAGAGACATATATGCAGGCAAAACAGCAGGCACATAATATAAAAGTAACTACTACACACCTCTTTTTAAAAAAAAAATCAGATATCATAGCCCTTTATGAGATTCTGTCTCACAAAACAAACAAGGGACTAGATGGTCAGTGAGTAAGAGCACTGGCTGCTTCCAGAGGACCCAGGGTTTGATCTCTAGCACTCACGTGGTGGCTCACAACCACCAGTAACTCCAGTCCCAAGGGATTTGACGCCCTCTTTTGGCCTCTGGAGACACTGCATGCACATGGCACACAGACATACACACAGGCAAAACACCCATTCACATAAAAAACAAAACAGGGCTGGAGAGATGGCTCAGTGGTTAAGAGCATCGCCTGCTCTTCCAAAGGTCCTGAGTTCAATTCCCAGCAACCACATGGTGGCTCACAACCATCTGTAATGAGGTCTGGTGTCCTCTTCTGGCCTTCAGGCACACACACAGACAGAACATTGTATACATAATAAATAAATATTAAAATAAATAAATAAATAAAAAAACCCAGACCAATCTGGCAACACTATGAGACCCCATCGCAAAAAAGACAAAAACAATAAAATTATCTCCTTTTAAAAAGACAAATCAAAATTATCTCATTTTAAAAAGGCAAATCAGTCAGGTGGTAGTGGTGGCACACGCCTTTAATTCTGGCACAAGAAAAGCGGTGGCAGGCAGATCTCTAAATTTGAGGCTAGCCTGGTCTACAGAGCAAGTTTCAGGACAGCCAGGCTACAGAGAAACCCTGTCAGGGGCTTGGTAAAGATCAACAACTTGACATAGGTGGCACGGGCCTGAAATCCCCAGCACCTGAGAGACTGAGACAGGATTGTGAGCTCCAACCCAGCCCGTCTCCCAGAAACACACACACACACAGGCTCTGCAAGGCTGACTCCAAAGTAAAAGGCAAGCTGGCATAGTGAACCCATGCCTTTGATCCCAACACTTGGGAGGCCGACTTTAAGGTCAGCCTGGTCTGTGTAGGAGTTGAAGGACAGCCAGGGCTTTGTACAGAGATCCTATCTCCAAAAACAACAGACATCAGAGTAAAAGGCAATGCTCTCCATTCAAGGCTGGGTTAATTGAAGCTGGAACTCAAAAGCATACTGTTGAGGACAAATCCCCAGTGTCTAAGTCAGTAAACAATGTTTCTCATAGAAACTCTGGTGCTCCCTGCCATCTGGATGTGGGCAGAGCCATTCCCCTGCCATGTTGCCAACTCCACTCCCTCAAGCTGCTCAGCCAACCAAGAAAGACACATGACAGTGAGGACGGGTCAAGAGAGGCCTCCCTTCCAGGACCCGTTCTTCTAAGAACTTAATCCCTGTAAGTGTAAGAGTAAAGTAGCAAAGAAAATGTGGCGCCTTTTGTTCAGCTCTTGTGGTTTTATTTATTTTTGGTCTTTTGTAACTGGGTAAGACCTCATGGCATACCCCAGACTAGCTTAGAACTCACTGTATCGTACAAACTGGCCTCGAAATTACATTCCTATTCCTGCTTCATTTGCATCTGTGCTGGGATTACAGGTGTGAGCCAGCAAGCTTCGCTAATTGCAGGAAATTCATTTTAGGTTAGCAGTTTCCCAATGTGAGGGGGTATCAAACGACCCTTTCACAGGGGTCACCTAAGACCATCAGAAAACACAGGTGTTTACATTACAATTCATAACAGTAGCAAAATTGCAGTTATGAAATAGCAACAAAAATAACTGTCTGGGCTGGGCGATGGTGGCGCACGCCTTTAATCCCAGCACTTGGGAGGCAGAAGCAGGCGGATCTCTGTGAGTTCGAGACCAGCCTGGTCTACAGAGCTAGTTCCAGGACAGGCTCCAAAGTCACAGAGAAACCCTGTCTCGAAAAACCAAAAAAAAAAAAACCAAAACCAAAAAAAAAAAAAAAAAACTGTCTGGTTGGGGTTCACCACATCATGAGGAACTGTATTAAAGGGTCGCAGCATTAGTAAGGTTGAGAACCACTGCTTTAGGTGATACCAGTCCCGTATGATTAAGGGAGCAAAATGGAAAAAAACTTCACGTGAAGTTTATTTCTAATAGAGATGCTTAAGAGGTATGGAGGAGAAAAGGATATATTCTAATAACTACCAACGAAGACCATCACATGTTGTCTTTTCATTGCACCCTAGGGAGCTGAAAGGAACTGAGCGTTCTGTGTCGATCTAGGTTCTTAGTGTCTTAGTCAGCCACTGCACTGGACATACTCAGCCACTTTCTGCAGGGAGTCCGCTCCAGCGTTGTACAGTTTTCCCAGGAAAGAGTAAACTAAAACCTACCTATAGGACATTAGGTCTTGGTGAGGTCCCCGCAGGATCTTTCCGAGGACCTGAGTTCGCACCTCCTCCCAAGCCCTAGTTCTCAACTGCGACACAGAACTACTCTCACTCTCCAATTCAGCAGAGGGAAAACTTCCTTCTCCTGCCCCAGCACAGAAAACGGTGCACTGAGAGTACCAAGTTCGGAAGGCTGGCTGTCATCAGCTGTTTTAAAGAGAGGGACCTCTTGCAGCGACGCTGGGAATTTCAAACACTGGGGCTGGCGGTGGAGGACACGAGCAGACCCGGAGTCCCAATCCGCGACACGCGGGAACCCACTGCGCTCGTGGAGCCGGGCTTGCGGAGCTGGGCAGCGGCCGCAGGGGAAAGGAGTGCCCGGGGACCCCGCGAGCCACAGAGGCGTGAACACCAACCCCCTTCCCGGCGACCACACTTCCGCCTCACCGCGAGTCCCGAAGACGACCCACTCACCCTGGGGACAGGGACGTAAGACTTAGGGGCCGGACACGGACCAGGCCCTGTTGGAACCTGTCACAGACCCACACAACCGAGTACAGAACAAAGAACGGAAGTTGCCCCTCCCCATTTAGTTTCCGGGTCGTCCTTCTTCACCACCCACTACAACCCCCGTGAACCAAACGCCCATTTGATCTCTCTAGGAAAGTGGGAGGTCTTCGTCTCTGATGGTTCGCTCACTCTCAGAGGACTGGAGTACGGGAAAACAAGTGTCCCCGACGGCGTCACCTGCTGGCCAGGTCGGAAAGGGACGATGAGCAGGTGGAAGAAGCTGGAGGCCCTGGGAATTCAGGGCACAAGTTCGGTGGCAGAGAGTCCCGCGGCTCTGGGAGAAGGTCCTGTAGGTAGAGACCAGCCAACACCATCACGCAAACCTCCACAGTAAATATAAGAAACTTGAAGAATCTGCTAAGGCCGGGCGGTTGTGGCACACGCCTTTAATCCCAGCACTTGGGAAGCAGAGGCAGGTGGATCTCTGTGAGTCTGAGGCCAGCCTGGTCTGCAGCGTGAGTTCCAGGACAGACTCTTAACGGTACAAAGAAATCCTGTCTTTTTTTGTTTGTTTTTTTGTTTGTTTGTTTGTCTTTTCGAGACAGGGTTTCTCTGTAGCTTTGGAGCCTGTCCTGGAACTCCCTTTGTAGACCAGGCTGGCCTCGAACTCACAGAGATCCACCTGCCTCTGCCTCCCGAGTGCTGGGATTACAGGCGTGCACCACCACTGCCCGGCAAGAAATCCTGTCTTAAAAAAAAAAAAAAAAAAAAAAAAAACAGCCCGGTGGTGGTGGCGCACGCCTTTAATCCCAGCATTTGGGAGGCAGAGGCAGGTGGATCTCTGTGAGTTCAAGACCAGCCTGGTCTACAAGAGCCAGTTCCAGGACAGGCTCCAAAACCACAGAGAAACTCTGTCTCGAAAAAACAAAAAAATCAAAAACAAAACAACAACAACAACAAAAAAACCCAAAACGAAAAACAACAACAACAAAAAATGTACATCATGAACTGAAGGATTAGCTCAGTTTTTAAATTTTTATTTATTTGTTTTGTTTTTCGAGACAGGGTTTCCCTGTATAGCATCGGAACCTGTCCTGGAGCTCACTCCACAGACCAGGCTGGCCTCAAACTCACAGATCTACCTGCCTCTGCCTCTCGAGTGCTGGGATTAAATGTGTGCCACCATCACTCGGCTAACACAGATTTTTAAAAGATCTGTCTGCCTGTCTATCAAGTTTTTCGAGACAGGATTTTCTCTGTAGCTTTGGAGCCTGGATTAAAGATGTGCGCTACCACCACCCAAGTAGCTCAGTTTTTTTTTTTTTAAGATTTATTTATTTGGCTATTTGGTTTTTTGAGGCAGGATTTTATCTGTAGCTTTGGAGCCTGTCCTGGAACTCACTTTGTAGACCAGACTGGCCTTGAACTCAGAGATCCACCTGTCTGACTCCTAAGTACTGGGATTAAAGGCCTGCGCCACCACCGCCCGGCTAAAGATTTATTTTTTTAGTATGTTTTCCCTGCTTGTATGTATGTACACCTGATGTAGGTGTAGGTCAGATGAGATCAACACATCTGGAACTGGAGTAGACGGTTGTGATTGGCCATATGAGTGCTGGGAATTGAACCTGATCCTCTGGAAGAGCAGTCAGTGCTCTTAACTGCTAAACCATCTCTCCAGCCCTTAGCTTTGCTTTTAGAATGCTTGCCTAACTTGGCTAAAGTCCTGGGTTCCATCCACAGCACTGCACAAACAAGACAAGATGTCACAGGACTGCATTCCTAGCATCTGGGAGGTAGTTGCAGGAAGATCAGGAATTTAAGATCATTCTTCAGTACATAATGAGTTCAAAGCCAGCCTGGGCTGCATGAAAGGTCTCACTTAAATAATAATTGATTTTTATTTTATTTTATTTTATTTTATTTTATTTGGTTTTTCGAGACAGGGTTTCTCTGTGGCTTTGGAGCCTGTCCTGGAACTAGCTCTGTAGACCAGGCTGGTCTCGAACTCACAGAGATCCACCTGCCTCTGCCTCCCGAGTGCTGGGATTAAAGGTATGCACTACCATGCCTGACTCAAACAAAATCTTTGTTTGACATAAAATGCTCTCCCTGGGCGAGCATGATGGCTCAGGGAATGGAAGCTTTTGGATGGTGCATAACTACAGTTGTCACCTTCATGAGAATGAGAGGCTGCAGTTGGAATGTTCTTTGGGCCTCCAACCAAATAAAGACACAGAGATTTATTATTAATTCTGAATGCTTGGACTTAGTTTAGGCTATCCCACCAGCTCTTTTAACTTAATAAGTTTCTATTAATCTACATTTTGGCTTGGGGCTTTTTACCTTTCTTTCATTCTGTATATCCTTCTTTCTCCATGTCTAGTAACTTCCTGCCATCTCATTTTCTTTTTCTTTGAGCCTAAATTCCTCCTCCTCCTTACTCTTCCTGCCTGGAAGTTCTGCCTATACCTCCTCCTATGCTATTGCCATTTAGCTTTTTATTAGATCAATCAGGTGCCTTAGGCAGGCAAGGTAAAACAGCAACACGTCTTTACATAGTTAAACAAATGCAATACATCTTAAACAAATATTCACAAGATAAACAAATGCAACATATCTTTACATAGTTAAACAAATATTAGGCAACATTTCTCCCTTTTGTCTAAATAAAAAAAAGGTTTTAGCTTTAACATAGTAAGACTATATACAATAAGAACAATTATCAAGTAAGAATTACACTTACATGGGGCTGGAGAGGTGGCTCAGAGGTTAAGAGCACTGACTGCTCTTCCAGTGGTCCTGAGTTCAATTCCCATTAGCTATGTGGTGACTCACAGACATCTGTAATGAGATCCAGTGCCCTCTTCTGGCATACAGACATGCAAGCAGACAGAATACTATATATAATAAATACATAAAATTGTTAAAAAAGATTTATTTATCATGGATACAGTGTTCTGCCTGCATGTACACCTTCAGGGCAGAAAAGGGCACCAGATCTCTTTATAGATGGTTATGAGCCACCATGTGGTTGCTGGGGATTGAACTCAGGACCTTTGGGAGAGCAGCCAGTGTTCTTAACTGCTGAGCCATCTCTTCAGCCCAAATATATAAATCTTAAAAAAAAAAGAATTACAATATCCAGTCCATTCACATTTGGCAAATTCAGAGAAAATACTCCATTATCTGTCCTATCTTGGTGAATCCAAAGTCGTGTACCTAACTTACTTCCCATTGTAGCTTCTATTACCAACCCAAAATTATCTTTTTAGACCTCAAACCATTTTCTTAGATAAACAATATAAGCTTTTATGTTTCTCGACCTTATAAACTTTACATCTCTTTTATTTTTCTGAATTTGGTAACCAGAAAAACTGTAACTATCTCATCTTCACCTCCATCAGGGACCAGAGAAGAATATACTATTACCTGAGTAAACAAGAAAGCAGAGCGAGCAACTTCCAATACTATAGAAGTCATCCAAGGTTCCTCTGTGCCATTGGAGCATCCACCTTTAGCCTATGGGCCTAGAATATCTGATGGACCTTTCTGTGAAACAGGAATTTTGAAGGACTGTTATACTTTGTCTTAGCAAAGTTCAGCAACAATCTTTTTCCTTTGTGTCCTGCTTGTCCAGTTTGTACAGCACACTGTTAGCAGTCAAGGCAAGGGCATTTTCTTGCCCAAATTTCTAGCTTTGCCACAATGAAAGCGAACTCCGTATGGAGGTTCTTCAACACCCATCATCCTTTAATGAAGTAAATTGGTACAGCCAGGAGCAGACATCACTCACTGTCATAAAAAGCTTAAGTTATTAAACACCTTAAATGCCATGTTTAAAGGCTCTGAAGCATTTGAAGATCATCTATCTATATAAAATATTTCTGTTTAACCTTGAAAACATACCTAACATGACTACAAGTTTGATTGTCATAAGTGATGTAGTCAGAGACTAAACGTCCATTACCGGGCCTCCCAGACTTGAATAATCACATAGAAACTATATTAATTACAATACTGTTTGGCCGATGGTTCAGGCATATTCTTAACTAGCTCTTACATCTTTTTTTATTTATTTATTTATTTATTATGTGTACAATATTCTGTCTTGTGTATATGGCTGAAGGCCAGAAGAGGGCACCAGACCTCTTTACAGATGGTTGTGAGCCACCATGTGGTTGCCGGGAATTGAACTCAGGACCTTTGGTAGAGCAGGCAATGCTCTTAACCACTGAGCCATCTCTCCAGCCCTAGCTCTTACATCTTAAACTAACCCATTTCTATTATTCTATTTGCCACATGGCCGTGGCATTACCTCATTTTCTACATGTCTTGTTTCCTTGGCAACTGGCTGGTATCTGCTTGACTCCACCTAGTCTCTGTATCCCTATCTCTGTTTAGATTTCCCTCCTGACATTACTCTGCTAAGCTATTGGTCAAAACAGCTTTATTCATCAATGAATAAAAGCAACATATGTACAGAAGGACATCCCACATTACGGTGACTAATTACTAACCTGCATTTCTTTATTATCCTAAACAGTTTGTAATAATAACTTTCAAGGACTAGAAGTTTACAAATAAAATTACATTGTTAAATGAGTTGCATAGGTACAATACCTTAAACAAGAGTAGCAATGTGGGCTGGAGAGATGGCTCAGTGGTTAAGAGCACTGGCTGCTCTTCCAAACGTCCTGAGTTCAATTCCCGGCAACCACATGGTGGCTCACAACCATCTGTAATGAGGTCTGGTGCCCTCCTCTGGTCTGCACCACAGATAGAATATTGTATACATAATAAATAAATAAATAAATAAATAAATAAATAAAAAAGAAGAAGTCGCTGCAGTTTAAAAAAAAAAAAAGAGCACTGGCTGCTCTTCCAGAGGTCCTGAGTTCAATTCCCAGCAACCACATGGTGGCTCACAACCATTTGTAATGAGATCTGGCGCCCTCCTCTGGCGTGCGGGCATACATGGAGGCGGAATGTTGTATACGTAATAAATAAATAAGAAAAAAAAAGAGCCGGGCGATGGTGGCGCACACCTT